GTATGAAATAGGAGCAGGATATAATGTTACTCATACGCCATAGCGTACATGGCCGTAGTCGTTCATATGGCGTATGAGTAACATTTTCCATGTTAAAGTTTGGTTTTTTTTCAATCGCAATGCAAACTTAAAGTGAAAATACCTTTGGAAAATAACCTGAGCTACAATTTTGAAAGAGTTTTTTTTTTATATAGGAGCCCCCCCCCCTAAATTTCGTTCTGGCTACGCCCATGTGTCCATGTGTTGCATCCTTGTAGGTACAATCGCAGTATATACGTATATTTTGGTGTATTCAAGTGTGCGCATTTGTTGCATGCATCACAGGCATATTGCCCCACACCTTGATGTAAAGAAAGAAATTAAATGTTTAGGTAAGGAAAAGCAAACCATGTGACTCAAGGACACTTATCACTTGGGTAAGAGATGCTTGAGTGCATGATTTGAGGCTTACGTTTATGTGCACAGCCAAAAGTACGAAAGATGCATTGTATTTTAAATCTCAATATGTGATGCGATCTTGGACAGTGTCTGGTGTTTAGTTAGGTTCAATTTATATGTGGTTCCGTGCGCAGAAGTGGAAAACTTTTGACTGCCATTCACCTGGGAGTGGCCAGAAGCGATTCTTGTGCGTACGGTTCAAATCGCAGCTCACATTGTCCGGATATTTATATACACATATCCTCTGAGTAGCAACAAAACACCCGTTTGGGAGCGAGCTAAAGTGAGAAGGCTTAAAATTTCGCGTGCTCTGGGTTTGGGTCCCGCCATGTTAAAACCCCGCCTAATGAAAAAGAATAAACAGCCTCGGATGAAACGCCCTTTTTTTTTGATGACGACCATGGCAAACGTATAAAGAACTATGATTTAAAGGTATGTACCTGGAATATCCGGACCCTTAATGGGGAAGGTGCCTCTGCCCGGCTGGTTGATGTCCTCGGGAAAACAAAGGCTGACATCACAGCCATCCAAGAAATGCGATGGACGGGGCAAGGAAAAGTAAGCGTGAAGCCTTGCAACGTCTTCTACAGTTGCCACGTAAAGGAGCACAAATTCGGTGTTGGATTCGTGGTAGGAGAGAGACTCCGTCGTCGAGTACTGGCGTTCACCCCGGTGTACGAACGCCTAGCCACAATCCACATCAGAGCTAGATTCTTCAACATCTCGCTCATCTGCGCCCATGCCCCGACGGAAGAGAAGGATGAGGCGTCCAAAGATCTCTTCTATGAGCGTTTGGAACGTACATATGAGCGCTGCCCCCCGACACCATGTCAAAATCGTGCTTGGCGATTTTAATGCCAAGGTGGTCAAGGAAGGGATCTTTGGCGCCACTGTTGGAAAATTCAGACTCCACGACGAAACGTCGGATAAAAGACTGAGGCTGATTCGACTTCGCCGGGGCCCGAAACATGGTAATGGTATGTAGTGCTAGGTTCCAGCATAAGAACATCCACCATGCTACATGGCTGTCTCCAGATCGAAAAAACGAGAAACCAAATCGATTATGTTGTGATAGACGGAAGGCACGCTTCAAGCGTTTTAGATGTACGTACACCGACTCGGACCACTATCTTGTTGTAGCCAAGATACGCACCCGCCTCTGTGCAGCAAAAAAGGTGCGCCTAACAATGCAAGGAAAGCTTAACGTCGAAAAGCTGCAATCACAACAGACGGCCAATTTATTCGCCCCTCGACTCACACACCTGCTCTCTGAGAGCACTCTTCCGACAATCCGACATACGAGAGCAGTGGAACCACATTTCCCGATCATTAAGTACCGCCGCCGAAGAAGTAGTTGGATTTCAGCGAGCCCGAAAGAACAACTGGTACGATGAGGAATGTCAAGAAGCCGCTGAGAAAAAAGACGCCGCCTACAGGGCCACGCCGCGATCGGGCGCAACGCGAGCCATGTGGGACCGTTATAGAGAACTAAAGAAGGAAGCCATACGTGTTTGCCGCAATAAGAAGAGAGAGGCCGAAAAACGTGAGTGCGAAGAGCTTGAGATGCTGGCCGACAGGAAGAACGCCCGAAAATTCTACCAGATGGTTAGGCGACTTACGGAAGGTTTCAAGACCGGGGCGAACTCCTGTAAGAACAAGAATGGCTACCTAGTGACCGATGTCCAAAATATACTTAAATTGTGGAGGGAAAACTTTTACAACCTACTGAATGGTAGCAGCGCTGAAAGTAGTGAAGAAGACGAACCCGAGTCCCCAGTCGATGATAATGGAGTAGCTGTTCCACCGCCTGACTATGACGAGGTACGAATAGCCATTACGCAGCTGAAAAACAACAAAGCTGCTGGAGCTGACGGCCTGCCAGCCGAGCTATTCAAGTACGGCGGCGAGGAGCTGATGAGGTGCATGCATCAGCTCGTATGCAGAATATGGTCAGATGAACGCATGCCCGACGACTGGAATTTAAGTGTGATCTGCCCAATCCACAAGAAAGGCGACCCGCCATACGCGCCAAGTACCGCGGAATCTAAGCATACGTTGTAAGGTCTTATCGAGTGTATTGCGCAAAAGACTGAAGCCAACCGTCAACGAAATGATTGGACCTTATCAGTGTGGCTTTAGGCCTGGAAAATTCACCATAGATCATTTATTCACAATAACGTTAACGTTAACGATGAGCTGTATGAGCTTTACAACGATATAGACATAGTGCAGCGAATTAAAATTCAGCGGCTCCGCTGGCTTGGCCATGTCGTTCGAATGGACAGAAACGCTCCTGCTCTGAAATTTTTCGCGGGCCGCGATGCTGGTAACAGAGGAAGAGGAAGGCCTCCTCTGCGTTGGAAAGACCAGGTGGAGAAGGTTGGCTTCACTTGGCATTTCCAATTGGCTTCAGGTAGCACAGAAGAGAAATGACAGTTGTGCTGTTTTGGACTCGGCCAAAATCGCTTAGGCGGTTACAGCGCCAATAAAGAAGAAGAAGTTATATGTGCATAGCACAATGGAAGTGTTATGTACAGTATATTAGTTATGTAGGCAGTTAGGTTTAGAATCTTATATAAATAAAGACGGCTGCTCTGCAGCGGTGTGGTTCTCTATTAGAAGATCGATGGTTTCACTTCATAGCGGGCTGGTCATCCATGGTGCATTTTCACCGTATTACGATCGTTGTTATTATATTTACAGTTATCTCCATCATACAGTACAACTGGAGTCAATCGCTACTTTTGAACCGCTACTACACCGACTCCTAGGTAAGTAGCTACTCTATTAACCCATGGTAGTGCACATGGTAGTGCAGAGTCGAACCAGTCGGAAGCAGAATAGCGAAAAATTATGACAGAGGGCGCCCCTAAATCACGCAAGTGACTACTTTAGTAACTCCCGGTAGTGCAGAGAGAGCCGATGGTGACTACCGCCTAGGACATTGCCTTGTAAAAGTAATGGATGAAATACACTGCAAGTAGTCGGTCGGTAATTGACGGAGTTTATCAGGTAGCTACCGATTCATCAGTCCTGTAGTCGCTCCCCTGTACTGCAGGGCTGCTTCGCGATTCTGCTTCCGACTGCACTACCATGTGCACTCCCACGGGTTAATAAAGCAGCTACTTACCTAGGAGTCGGTGCAGTAGCGGTTCAAAAGTAGCGATTGACTCCAGCAGTACTGGAGGGCATATTCTTAAAATATGTTGCCGAAACATGTTGCTGAGCAACATTCTGTTGTGAAAAAAATTAGATATGCCAATATCTACGTACACCTCTCACAAAAAATGTACAAGTTGCACTGCAGTGTCGTTGGATATTGTTAACTTCTGTTAACCACTTACCACTGTCGTCTGTGGGACTAGCAGTTGTTGTTGTTATAAGACGGCGTGCTTGGAATTTTCGTCGCAAAACTGTCGACGCTTGTTTGGTGTTAGTGTTGGCGTTATTATGTTGTATGATGTCATTGATAGCTAATGTAGTTGCTGCTGTTGCGGTTGCTGCTCCTTTGGCAGCTGGTGTCACTGTCACTAGCGTCGTTGGTGATGCGCCCGTTGACAAAGTGGTTGCAGACAGCTTTGCTCTGTACTTTGTGTTAAGGTAATTTTTCTGATTGCCTGTGCCATTGGCAGCATCACTGTTTAGAGTAAGAGCTGCTACAGCTACTGTTACTGATGTGGTCGTTGTAGGTGCTGATAGGTAGGTTGTTGATGTTGTTGTTGCAGCTGGTGTTACCAGTTTAATACGATTGCGATATTGTTGTGGCTGTTTATTAAAGGTCGTTGGTAATTCCGTTGTTGTCCCAAGCAGCTCATCACTTTTCGTGGGGTACGTGTTTGCTGTTGTTATTATAGCTGCTGCTGACGATTGGATCTTCGTCGTAGCCGTCTGGTAGGCTATACCTGATGTAGCGAGCGTCGGTGTATTGATTTTTCGCCGACGTACGCTCAGTACGGGTCGGCGCGTCTGCGCTGTGGCTGCTACAATCGTTGTTGCAGTTGGAGTGCGAATCTGAAAGGCAATGGAAGTGTGTTCGTTAGTACGGCAGTGCATACTAGCAGTAAGGAAAACGTGTACGATATTTGTATTTATTTACGTTTGCTGTTTGTTGGAGGGAAATAACGGTGTAAATTATTAGCAAACATTTGCATTTTTATGAAAGAAAGGGCTTGCATAAGGAACGGAAAGGAAAGTGGCGGATGGCAAGCGCGTGGCTGGAAAGAAAGAGTTTGTAATTTTCTTGATGTGTTTGTATGTGCGATAACTTTTTTTGGTTCAGCGTCAACTTAATTTAAAATTTGCGTGTTTGTTTTTAATTTTGTGTGCGTGATTTAACTGTTGAAATATGTATGCGCGTTTGTGTGGATGTTGCGGCAAGCCTATAAGTCTAAAAAAAAAAAACAATATTTTGTTCATATAATTTGCAGATGATATGCCAGAAGTCAGACAAAGACGTACGGAAAAGTAAGTTAATCAACTAAAGTTGCCTACAGTCGCATTAGTAAACAATCTAAATAAGTTAGTATTATACGTATAATAAATATTTCTGCTTCTCATTTTGTGTGAAATGTGTTTTATTTGAAAAAAAATTTTAGTGCTTTAAAGGAAAGGTGGATGTTTTTT